CACAAATAGGGGACATTACATCAATGCCAGATGTCACTTATCTTTAGTACCGTTAATATTGCTTAGTCTTTGTGTGTGTGTGTTTTTTTTTTTTGTAAAAAAAATGAAATATCAATAATTTATAAAAATATGAAATTAAATTGAAAAACTAAAACATGAAATGCCAATTAAGTTTAAAAAAAAAGCAATTTAATATCAATTATTATAAAAAATTCATAAAAACATTTTGTGAAAAACGAAATATATTGTACATATATCAATGTCTGATAAAAAGTAAAAATTTAAAAATTAAAAAAGTGAAGATAAAAGAATGTGTAAATAAGAAGAAATTTATGCAATTTCTTTTTTTAATTCAAAATTTTCAAAAATTTTGTTATAATATTTGATTATTATTTTATTTTTCATTTTTTATGAATAAAAAAGTGCAAAAAGCTAATAAAGCTTATTCAATTATTTGATTAAAGTTTTATATCACATATTATTTGAATATTTCCATTTCGATACAATTGTTGAAAAAAAAAAATAAAACCAAAATTTACATTTCATGTTGCTCTGAAATTGTGAAATAAGAAAATGAAAAAAAAAAACGTAAAACAGAATGAAATATCAGTTTTCAGTGAATACCAAAGTAAAAAGAAAAAACAAACAAACAAACAAATAAAAACAAATGGAAAACATAATTTTGAATATTTTAGGTATATCAACCTGAAATATTGATTTCAGAGTGAGCAAATCACTGATAAAGCAAAGCTATAACTAATTTCCAGCATAATTTGACAGATATTTCTTAAATTTACCTCCAACAAAGAAACTATAAAAACATATAAAATAAATATTCAAAAATATATTTATTAATTTTACAAATATAATTATGACTACATATATTAATGACTTAATATCAGAATTAAATTTTCAGAAATTATAATATTTTTTTTGTTTTATTGAACTTGTAAAAATTTTTGTTAACCTAATCAAATTACGATTTATCGTTTTTATTTCTTTACTTTTTCGCAGCAAATTTTTTATAAATATTTTTAAATGATTAAAAACATAAATTATATAATTTCTGCAATGTATGTTATTGAATATAATTACTATTTAATGAAAATAACAAAAAGAATAAAATGAGAAAGAAACGAATGACAGTAAACAAAAATAAAAAAAATGGGAAAAAACAGTAAAGCTGAACAAATACAATCAGTCAAACAACAATTTTTTCTAACAAAAATATTTTTTTTTCAGTTTCTCTGAGCAAAAAAAAGTTGAAACGTTGTTCAATTTGTTAATTATAACAAAGAAAGGTAAAGATTTTATCAAATTTTTTCTCTTTTTTTTGAATTTAAATTGTTGATTTAACTAATCATTTAAGTCGACTTTTTCCTTTATTACTATATTATTTATTGTTATTGTTTTGCTTATACTTATTGTTATTGATAAATTTTACGATGATTTAAGTTTTATTCTTTTAATTGGATAAATGACAGACATTAACAATAAAAAGTATTTTATAACAAGTAACAATAACAAGTATTTATTGTTAGCATTTCAAAATTTGGTAAGAAAAATATTTAGTCGGTAACTTATTTTTTAAATTTGTGAAATTGTCAAAGTTTTCATTTTTTTTTTTTTTTTTTTTTTTATTAAATTGAGAAATTGAAAAAAATAATAATTTATTTTTCTGAAAATGAATTAATCATAAAAAAGAGAAATTTTCACATATATAATTCGTTTGATGATAACAGTGACAATTAGTGATAGTTTGATCAATTGATTAATTCATTCGATCTCATAAATTATGAGAGGTGAAAGACAAAGCATTCATGTTATCACTGATAGTACTGATATCACTTCGTGCATCATTTCTTTCATTCTGCCAGCACTATTTTAATTTTGATTCGTTGGAACATAATTTTACATTTTTGTTATCTGAAAAATATAATTAATTATTTCTATTAAATACAAACAATAATAAAAGAAGAAAATTAATTTAATAAATGGCTTTTTTTGCAAAGGTCACATAATTAATTTTAGACTAAATTTATTACTTTCAATCATAAATGTCAAATTGTATTATTTCAGATAAAAGAAATGGAAAAGTCTGATAACAGAGTGATAATTTCATCAAAACTGGAAGTGAATGGAAGACAAGAACCAAAATTGAAATTATGTTTACAATTTGTACGAAAGAAAAAGAAAGCGATTAAAGAATTTGCGACCATTTTGATTCTTATCATTCTTATCATTGTGCTTGTAGTTATTCTCATAATTATTCGCTGAGATGTACATATGTAAGCAAAGTTAGTCATAATTAAAAAATATAATTAAAATTGGAATTTAAAACAAATCGTAGATGAAATTTTTCAGCAAATTGAATTGGACTCCTCTCATTAATTCAAATTTTTAATGAATAAACAACTTCATTCATAATTATGTTATCAGCATATGATTATCACTACTAAATGATAACGATTTAAAAATAAACAAAAAAATGTTTTTAGTAATAATAACAACTAATTTGCTTTTTGCAATTAAACAAATGCAAACATTTCATTGTCAATGCATGAATTTATCAATTATTCTACTTAAAAAAAAGCGAAAATACTTCTTTTTTGCTTCAGTTCTTAATAAATAGAAAAAAGTAATCAGCGACGTGGCACGTGAAAGTAGCGAAGACGTTGCCTACGTCGTTAACGTTTATGCTTAAATAATATTAGCGTAACAAACAAAAGTCTATAACTTATAGTCTTCATTTATTATTTTTTCTAATCACATAAAAAGGATTTTATTTTATAATTTATAAAAAAACTGATTGGAAATAATTGATGGAAATATTTTGTAACAAATTTTACTTTACTTTTTCTCTTCTTCTACTATTTATTAATCATTGTAAAATTATTTTATCAAAAACTTCTCCAATTTCTCTTCTCATTTTATTTTTTCAATTCCTCAGCTGGTTATTCTTTTCTTCACTTTAAAATTTTCGTCGATAGCATTTAAATTATTATTTTAATTAGCAGTGCAAAAGACCTCAATTAAATAGCTAAAATAAACAATAAATTAAACATTCACGTGAACGTGAAAATTAAATTAGCAACCTGAAATGCTTTTTGTTAAATTATAAAAAGCTCAAACAATATTAATTTGTATTTCATTACGATCATTGCACATTATTGGTTGGTTGTGTTTCATTTTTTTGTTTTATTTTTTATGAATTGTTTGATTGTTATATTATTTTGATTTTTGTGTGATAACGAAATTTGCTTTTTTTTTCAGAATAGAAATTCTTTTGAATTAAAAAAGGAAAAAAATTAAATTTAGATGGAAGAAAAAAATTTCACTTTTGAAAATGCTTTCCTAAAATTAAAAACGACGGAAATTAATTAGAATTACTTAGAAATTACTCAATTTGCTTATTTGCATCTAATAATTTCACAATATAAAGACTTTCCACAATTTTTTCATTTTTAAAATTAAAAATTTTTGTCCTACAAAAAATGTAAAAAAATAAAAATGAAAAAATATTTCGAAATAAATTTTTCTTCTCGAGCATAAATTCTTTCCAAGCATTAAGCAAACAAAAAATAAACAAACACTAACATTTTGGCGAATTAGCAATCAGACCAAAGTTCACAAATATTAATTCAAAATTTTTAGATGAAATTTCAGGATGCAAATATTCACACCTTGAATTGCAGTATGATTCAAAAATTCCAAATGTTTATCTATTTCACAGGTATACAATATTGCTCATAATTAAAATTAACTTTAAAATTTAACTTATCGTAATTAAAATCATACAGTCATTGATAAATAACATTTAAATGCTTTAACTTCTAAGCATATAAAATCAAATTTGATATGCAAATGATAAATTAAATGCTAATTAAGTGCAGAAATTGGGAAATAAATTTTCATTTAGTATATGAAATTTAGAAATTTCTAATATGAAATGGAAAAATAGCAAAAGGTAAACAATTTTGATAAGAAAAAAGTAAAAGGCACAAATTAATTTCAGTGCTAATACAAAGAGCAATAATGGAAATTAATAAGAATTATGCAAGTACATTTGGCACTCAATTCGTTACGCTATTTCCGTGGAGTAACAAAGTATCGAATAGTACCTCACTTACCTTTGAAATTGTTAATGCATCAGAAAATGAGACAGCAACTATTGTCATTGAATATGACATTGGCTTAGGACATTTCAAAAGTATGGCGGAATTATCAAAGGATGTCATTCATGTCGCACCAAATTCTTTCCTTATAGTTAGTTTCGTTGATATAGTATTGTCTTCTGTTAAAATTCATTGGCCAAATTCTTATTATCACTTTATCTTATCACAAAGAAATGTAAATAAAACAAATCAGATAATTCATTTTTTCTTTGAAATTAAAAATACATAAGTAAGATGAAGATCAAATATATGATTTATTGAAAAATCAAAAATTATCATAGATTAAATAGTATCTACCATTCAAAAAATTATCAAACGAATCATTCAAAAAAAAAATTATTTTAGAAAAAAAAAAAAACAAATTACTTCATTGCATGCAAATTATTTATTAATTGTAGGTCAATTTGAAATTATAAGCCTTTGAATCAATAATTATCACTACTCGTTGATATGATATGATTAGCAGATTCTTTAGCATAAGTTTGATCCAACGACAGTGATGACACGGCCACTTAAAGATGACAGAAGTAGTGTCATCTCAGTTGGCGCAACACGAATTTTCATTTCTTCAAATTTATCAATTTCAATCATAGAATGCATTTTTATCACTCGCAGAAATGGTGATTGCTTCACAGGTAGTAATTAATGAATGCTTTCTTCGATATAAATTAAATTAAATCAATTATTTGTGGAATATTTTTTCCAATATTAAAATCATTTTTTCGATTTCTTATATTTTCAGAAGGAAAGAAAAGAAAGAATTACTTACTAAAATATTTCCAAACATATTATAAAGTTTTTCTATTTTCAGTTTTACCGATAACCATGGCCGGAAATCATTATTCATTTTCAATTGCAACATTTATGGGCATTTCAACAGCTTATTTTATACCGACATATACCGATTCATACATAAACATTACAACGATTACAAGGGAATCTTTTAAACGAGTCAATAGCACCAATAGGATTTCAAGGGTACATTTTAAATTAATAGGATTTAGAGATTACAAATTTACTGTGAACTTTCCAATCATTTGTGTATTTTTTTTTTTTTTTTTTAAATAAAGAAGAGAAATGTACATTTTACTCAGAAGAATTTTGTTTTTAAGTTTATGTCAAATATTTTTGTTACAAAAATCTGAAAATGAAAACCTATTTTATTAAAATTTAACTACTAAAAAGTAATTAATATGTGGCAAAAAATGGTATTTAAATTATATTAGCAAGTTGAAATGAATGAATTATTCAATATCAATAATAGCAAAATTTCAATCATTTCCATTTCTTTTTTGCTCTTTTCAGTTTGATCACGGATCGATGATTTATGCATACAATAATTCAATCAATGATTCCTTTACTGTGCATATAACAAGTTCATCACCAATTGTAATTCTATTAGCAATACGAACACAATTGACGGATATTTCAAGTGAAAGCTTTGCATGCACAATGCTTATGCCATTGCCCGACAATGGTATTTTAATTTCTTGCATTAAATTAATTAAATTAGAATAAATTAAATTTGTTAATGAGTAAATTAATATTAAAGAAATTAATGATAATTCCATATAATTAAATTAAAGTTATTGAAATCACTTCTGAAATAATTTAATTTATTTGAGAAAAAAAAAAAACCAATTTGTTTAAAAAAGAAAAGAAATCATTTCACACTGAATATTAGGTTGTAGAAGTAGAAAAAAAACACAAAAAAAGTACAAAAAGTAAAAAACGACAAACTTTGATTTTATTAATTTTACTGCACTTTTTTTTGACTTTAAATCTTAAATTTTTCCTTTTAAATAGCACTTTCTATGACAGAAATATAAATACGTATTAAAAAAAATCAAAAATTAAAAAAAGAAATAAAACGAAAATGTGAAAAAAAAAGATATCAGTCTGACTTCGTATTATTTCCTTTTCCATATAACATATTTGAATGAATGCCATTTTCAGTTTACTCTCGAATAGCACTTCGAGATGATTTCGATGTTCATTTCACGCCTCTGCAATCTTTCGAGAATTGTCAAACTCACCTCTTCCTGTCACCACCAATGCAAAGTTGTCAAACGTTTACTGTCGCCACATTTCGACCTAATAGCACAAAGCTAATTAATGTTGAACCTTGCAATGTCTTCGATAATATCGTAATGCAATGGAATTATCACTTTAAGGACGCAATCATTGGTTATGCATCAAAGTTCACTTTTTATCTTTATTATTTAAAAATTAATTTTTAAAAACTTAATCTTTTGTCTGTGTAATATTCAAACTAAGCTTTTACTTCTATTATACTTACTTAAAATATTTTACATTCGTTCCTTTTCTCTTCTTTTTTTTTATTATATCATTGCCTTCGTTAACTTTTTCAGACTGTTTAACTCTTTTTTTCTCAAATTTTTTCCTTCTAATTTTTTATTTGCTTCATTAATTTAAAAAAATTTGTTGAAAGTATTATCAGTCGTATTTATTTTATTGTTTATTTTAAACAATTAAATTTTACAATTTTCTCATTTCTAATAATTTTTTCAAATCTAATTTTTATGATATCTAATTTGCTTATATTTAGAAAACATTATTGAATTGTACTATTTGCTAATAACAAAAAGTTTGTTTTGTATAATTAATTACAAAACATTGGTGTAGAAATACAAAGTAAATATGATAAATTAACTTTTGTAGCAATACTCTGTTTCAATTACTTCGTTTTGAAATTTATCAAAACCTTTACTCATTTCTGGATATGATACCTGCTTACTCGCAGTACCTTACCGGACGAATGTGTTTTCCGTTTAAAAATGAAAGTGAACAATTATTTGTTAGTTTCTTTTTTTTTTTCATCTAACTCATCTATGATTCATTCTAAGCAACAGTTAAAATACTTTTCTTATCACTAGCTGAAAGTGAAATTTAATTTCAGTTACGCAAAAAGAAAAAAAAAACGAAAATAAAGTCAAACATTTTAGCAAATAAATATATATATTAAAAATATTTAAATAAAAATGCTCATTTTGTATTGTATAAAATGAAGATAATTACTCTAAAATAACATTTACAAATTAATTTTTTTAGATAAATTTAGAGTTAAATTATTGAATTGTAGTTATTTCAAACATAATTTTGTTGCATTAAGTTAAATAATTAATTCTTTAGAAACATAATGAATTGATTAATGTATCTTTCCATTAGATGAAAACTTTTTTTCGTTACTCTTACTTTAGCTGTACGACATTTCACGTCAACAGGATAGCATAGCATTAGATGGTAAAGTAGTTGACGCGGAGTATATGCAATATTTTGAAAATTCATTTCGATCCATTACAATGCGTAAAATAAATACAACAAAATTAGAACGTGGAATGCACTGCTTGGAATCAAACGGACGTTATTTACTTTTTATATTTGGTGGAAATAGGAGAAATTATGGTTATGCATATGCTTTTAATGGTAAACAATTTTATTTATTTTTTTTAAAAAGTGGATAGTATTTTTGAAGGAAAAGAAGAATAATATGAAATAAATGAAATGGAATAAAATTAATAAAAATAAAAAAATAAAGCTAAGAAAAAATTCATGAAAATATTTGCAATTTTTTAAAATTATTCAAATAAATCAATTTTTAAAATTTAAAATAACTGATCATAGGATATGACGTCAGTTAAAAAGTCGAAGTTTATTCTAATTATCAGTGATTTATTCTAATTAATTGCTTAAAAGTTAAGCTTTACCAAATATTATTGAATTTTTATAACTTTTATTAGCATGTATTAGTAAAGGTTTAAGTTTTCTTTTCTCAAAAATTTTTAGCATATCCGACGGAAACGCTAAAATGGACGATGAAAAATGATGCAAACTTATATCACCAAGATATCTTCGGCGTATCGTTTATAACATTATTCCCTTGGATGACAGTCGAGAATGCTTCTGGTAATTTCAATATTGACTTAAGTCTTGACATACTTAACCCACATCCATATATGTTTGCAAGAGTTCGAATCAGTTATTATAATGGATCAAAGGGAAATTTAACTGAAATATTATATAACATTAAACCATACACACATCATAAGGTTAATTTTATTTTTAATAAATAGACATTTTTCTTTTTTTGTATTATTTGTCAAATTTTCAGCAGCAATTATGTGATTTCTTTTTTTTTACATTTTGTAGTTTATCGAGCAGATTTTTGAAGAGAAAAATTTTATTTGAATATTTTTCCAAATTTAATTTAATGTTCTTAGGTTGTCAAATTACAAATTTGAGATTTAAAAAGATTAATTTCAAATATTGTGAAAGGTTTGTTCTTTTTTTCAGTTAAAAATGAATAAAATAATGATGACAAAACTTTATAATGCATACAATGTTAGCATTTATAAGAGTTATTATGATTCGCGAATTAAAATAACATCTACTATTCCAATATCTGTCACCCAATCTTGCTTTATTGGTAATAGAATTGGTGACAGTTTTACAGGTTTCATGCTTTGTCATCCTAGTTTAAAATAATTCTGTGATGATAACACCTTTAATTCATGAAATTAAAAAATAAAACTTAACAAATTTCAATTCTAAGCTTTTATTAAAAATAAAAATGAAAGAAAAAAAATTTCACCAGAATATGCATTTGAGTTTAATTTATACTACTAAAATTAAATTCCTTTTTAAAACTTTATGTTTCACAATCTTGTTGAAAATTTTATAATTGCGTTATTTTTTATAATTTTAGTATTTTTTGTTTCTTATTTATTTGTATTCTGTATTTTTTAATTTAAGCAAACATTAATTTTATGAAGTTATATTGAGCGATAACATTATTATTATAAAGCTTCATAATGTAAATAGGCAGAATTAAATTAGAAAATGATTTCAGTAATTAAGAAGCGCAAAGGTTGAAGGTAAATTTACTGAACGCAACTGATTCGATTATACAAAATATTATTTAAATGATTTTTTTTAAATCACATAAAGTAATAATTTATAATTTACTAACAAACATTAATTTATACTATAAAGTCAATTTATAAGAAACTAATAAAATAAAACAAAAATTATATAGCATTAAAGCATTGAAAAGGAATATTTTAGTGTTACCATTAAAAATGGCTGGTCAGAACTATTCCTTTTCATTACCAAAATCAGTGGCTAATAATAGTCATTCAATTGTTTATCTTTTGCCATCTTATCAAACTACAAAAATATCATTTATAGCAAAAGTGGACGGGGAGGAAAAACTTTATAATATTAAAACTAAGGTAAATTTCCTTTTATTTATCCAATAATTTATCGATTGATCGTACATTATGGTAACCAGTTTTGATAGATATATTATTCAACTAATTTTTTGCATACAAAAAGTATGATAAATGACAATTAAAAGTGACAATTTTCATATGCATAGGTATTTCTGCTCAAATTCAATTTTTAAATGATTGAATTCACAGCAAAAAAAAAAACTCACTGAAAAATACTTTTTATTTTAATTTCTCTTTTTTGACTATCTTATCCATATTTTTTAAGATACAAAATTTTTTACACTAATATAATTGTTACTAACTGCTCTATGACTAAAAGTATTCCGTTAGTTTAAATAAATTTTTTCACTAAATGCTATTTTTAAAACAAGAGATACAGTATACTGGCAAAAATTACAAAAGTTCTTACGATACACTTTATGTTACAGTATTACTCATATTGACAGTAAATATTTCATTTCTTAATTGCATAGAATAGTTCGTTAGTTGCCTTTTTTGTCTTTAATAAAAAGAATGATATTGCTGAAATTATTAAGCTAGGAATAAATAAACATTAAATAAGCATCGATAGGTTTGAAATTTTAATTTTTTCATTTCATTGATACTGTAATCATTAATACAGTAATCACCAATACAGTAATTAGAAATGTTTTAACACGTATAATTTTTTTTTCCATTTATAATCAAAACATGGCAAAATTTTTTGTTTTAAACTTTATTTGAATAAAACATGAACATATTAGGCTGCAAAAAACTCTTCAATTTTTGCTTACTATGGATCTGGTGAAGAAGTGTCAATGAATTTATGGAGTGATAAATCATTTCAAGTGATTATTGCTCTACAACGATTGCTAATCATTCACAATACTGAACATCGATTAGATTTTGCTTGTACAATGGCAGTACCTATGTCATCACAAAGTGGTCAATATTTTATTCTTACGTTATTAATTTCTCATTTTATGCAAACAATTTTAATATTTAGAAATAATTTTGCTATCACTTTTTATTTTATTTTTTAGTTTAGCTCATAGTGTTGTTTTTTTCTAAGCAAACAGCTTTTTATAACAATAACACATATTGTTGAGAAATTATTTAATTGAATTTCCAATCATCTCTTTCATATAAAGCAATTTATATTGTTAAAAAATTGTTCAATTAAATTTTCAATGTTTAATTAAATATATATAAAGTTTAATTTATAACATCAATGAAATATAAAGTTATGACAATTTCATTGGTACAAATTTATTCTCCTTTTTATTCTGCATTATGAGTACTGCTGATTCTTGAAATTTAAATATATTTTCAGTTTGTTCAACGGAAAACGATATATCATTGCATGATATGCATTATATGTTCATAGCACAACATTACAACTATTCGGGTTTTTTCACGATGACACCGTCAGATAGCAAATGTTCAGCGTATTACGTGGATTTTTTCCCACGTAAAAAATCAACGGTGAAAGAAATTAAGCGATTGAAATTTGAACCAGCAACGATGCAACATTATTTTCAGTTATCAGGGCAAATATTCTCTGATTTTTCAACAATGTATTGTAGGTAGTCTTTCATTAATAATTATTATCATTAATGATTATTGATTATTACTCTCTCTTTATAGTATTTAACTATTATCAATTGTTTATTTGTTTTTTTTTTTACTTTACAGTTGCTCATTTTTATTTGTATAACAAAAATGTTTATTTAATAGTAACAGGCAAAATAACTGTAAGCATTGCAATCTTATCATTTTTGATAAACATTAATTTAGAAATGATTATATTCAAGTTTATTCTTTTGGTTCATCTAATATGGAAGGTAGTTACATTGACTTTATTCCATCCACTCAACAATATGTCACGGGAAGAAGTCATTTTGTTGCTAGTCATTATCAAAACTGGGTTTTGGTAAGAAGAAACTGAAATTTCTATTCTATAATTTTTTTGCTTAACATAAAGCAAAAGTAATTTAATTACGAAGTGAAATAAATCTTTAAAATTTAAGAATTTACTTTTAATAAACATTAATCATTGATATGATAAAAAAGATTTTGTTCTAATCATTGTGCGTCGTTCCTTTCTTTCTTTTTTTGCACATTTAATAATATTTATTAATATTTCTTCCTTATCAATTTGATAAAAGCTGAATTTCAGTTTATGAAAATGACTGATTTGATTTAAAAGAGTTGGTATAAAGAGTTACAAAGGTTGAAACCAAGCTTAATTAATTAGAAAAAGGCTTTCCTTAGATATTCATGGATCAAAATGCTATCAATGATATTGAAATGGATGGAGTATTCATCTCAAATAATTATGTATATGAAATGTTAAGTCCAAATAATTCCGGATATTTTGCATTACAAACCGTTCATTCAACCGTTCGACTGCATTATGTACAATCAACCGGATATTACTCTGTTCACATTCTGAGTGATACGTCGGAAAATGGTTTTTATCAGTACTTCGTCACACTTAGCAGTATGACTTTATGAAATTAATTTTTTTTTTCATTTTTTTTTGCAATCTTTTACTTTCTAATAATTTCATTGTAATTTTGAAAATTTTGAATTTAAATAATAAAAAAAATTAAATAATTAAAAAAAAAATTAAATAATAAATTATTGCTGTTATTGTTATATTTTTAAAAGAATTCTGTTCTTTACTAAAAAAAAAAACAGTGCAATCTAACTTTTTGACTTTATTTTTTTTTTTTTTTTTAGGTTATCGAAATATAATTAAAAACAGAGAACAAAAATCATACTCAAATATAACAACTCGAGAAGTAACAACAGAAAAAACATTACTCAAATCATCATCAAAACCATTTCAAAAGATTGTTTGTGATAAAGAATTATCATTGAATTGTAAATCGATTACAAACAATAAAAATGAGAGCGATACAATTATGTTAGATCATCGAAATATTGCAAAAGGTGAGCAAAAATAATTTTATCAAAGTTTGACTGTCACTTACAGGTAGATTACTTGTGCTTTCAGTTGAATTAAACTTTTATTTAACTCTTTATCTAGCAATATACGATTTTTTAATAGTAAAATTTAACAAATTTTTGTAGGTTTTTAAAGAAGAATTTAGTTGAAATTTAAATTTGTAATTCGAAGTTTTCATATGATATTTCATTTTTTCCTGTTAATTTGAAACACAAAAAAAAACCGAATATTAGATAAAATCTATCTAAATAATTCACTGATTTACAATTATATTCAGGTATACGAGCAAGAAATATGTTTGCTTCTGGCAATTCCATCAAGCTAACAACAGCTGCTTTAATTATAATTATACAATTACTATTGTTATTGTTAATTAAAATAGTGTAAATTGATACATTTGCAGAACAAAAAGTATTATTCAATTGTTAACAAATTTTTAAATTTAAATTTTGTATTTTGTTTGAAATAGTGTGTGATAAAAATCAAAAATTTTTCTTTTAAATTAAGCAGTTAAACTTGTTTATACTTACAGAGATATTAGCTTTCATAGCCTTTTTAAAAAGCATTCAGAAATTTTTCATTCATTTAAAAATTGCTTTTTCTTTGTAAAAAAGAAAGAAAAAACCGATATATGTTTGAAATAGTCATTTAAATTCCAATTTGTTCAAAGTTTGATTTTTAAATTTTAAAAAATTCCAAACCTCAATTATTAAAATTTTTAATTTTTTTTTTCTGGAAATTTATTGGCTGTATATGTATGTACTAATTATTTAATAAAGTGTACGAACACGAGTGTCTTATAAAATTTTATAGCAAAACACGGTGAAATTAAACAACTGAAAAATGATTCAAAGAGATCACAGAGTAATTTTCAAACAAGAAAATTGTTACTGTTGAAAATTGGTATATCAAATGCGTTCGTTGATTTTTGGTGATCAATTGCTGAAGATTTCTCCGTGCTTCTACATTGTTCTTTTTTATCATACTGTAATGGAGAAAAGTAATAATACTGTCACTAATGATCGATTGATTGATCGATCGATTGAATGACTGACTGATTGACTAATACCAAAGTTTGGTGATATGGCTAGTGATGGATTCATGTGAAATCAATAATGGAATTATTGTTGCATTAAGAAAGAAAATACAAAAAAAACGATTCAATATTGTTTTCACTTTTGTCATCGCTTAATTCTTATTTGGGACAAAACTTTGTACTGAAATGATAAAGTGATAATGGATAAATATACCATTGCATTCTTATCATTGTGTTTAGAAGACCGAACAGATCGTCGTGGTGACAAATTGGATGGCATTTGATCGTAACTGGTCAGATTGTAGCAATCAATGATTAAGTCCTTCGGTTGATAAGTTGTCAAGAAATTAGTCATCGGTGAATATTTTACATTTTGATGTGGAATTTGTTCCACCACCTTAATAAGTGACACTTTATCAAAAAAAAAAAACTTAAAATAATATTTTATTAATCAGAAACATTTGTTATTTTCAGAAGAAAATTGTCGTTTAACATTTTAAATATTGAAATTATATTTGAAAAAAAGTAAACTTGTTGTAATTATATTTGCAATGTAATTAATGTGCTATGAACAATTCTTGCAAATTTTGAAACAGTTGGAATTTTTCTAAAAATTGAAATGAAGGAGAGGAGTTTTTACAAATTTACCTGTGCTAGGATCTTTTGTTGTTGTTGTTGTGGAGGATGGTGATGGTGTCGTCGAGTAGTGTCAATGTTATCAGTAATATTATCATTGTAATCGTCATCATCGTCATCAATGTGATTATGAATTCGGAGCAAAACGTTACTTTTTGGATCAAATGAGACTAACGATTTTAAGTTAGTATTTGGCGAATTTGCACAAGTATTTTTTGCTCGATAGCTACCTGCCAAATTTATCTAGAAATTAAAATTTAAATTAGTAATGATATTTTGAAAGATTTAAAAAGTGAATGTATTAGAAAGTAAGACAAGTAGTTTTCCTAATAACTTATAAGAGTAGCATGCAAGTAATATGATTTATTGATCTACTAAACCTCTTCACGTGACAAAATCCGTCTCACTCCTTCTGTTGTTGGCATTTTAAAATTTTTTAAACTTCCACTACGATACACACATCCTGAATTTGTCATCAGTATCCCAGTTGCTTTTGATGCATTTGTGACATCTGAAATGTCACATTCATAAACAGATGCCCAATTTTTTGAACGCATAGCTAATGAGCTCTAGTAGCAGTGTCATTTAAAACGAATCTAAAATTCTTTCAGTCAAGCATTTCTAATTAATGTAGGTGAATCACCCCAGTAAATTCATCAACTAATACCTTTATTTATTGGTTCATAAGCTTGTTGGTTATGAATGTGTCCTATTTGTTGACAATTACATCCTAAATCAGTCATCGACTGTGAACGCTTTATAGTAAATGGTTTCTGCAATAAGAAAAATAATATTTGAATGAATATAAAATTTAAAAAAAAGAAAAGTATAAATAATGAAATAGTATATAATAAAAAAATATGTAACATACAATTTTAATAATATATAATTTAAAAAAACATACTATTAAAAAATTAATTTTTTGTTTATAATACAATCATAAAATAATTTTTTTTTTTTTTGGTTAGTCATTTTTGATTAATGATATGAATAAATTATTAATGTATAAACTATAAAACCATAGAAAGTATTTTTCTAAATTTCACAAAGAAATATTTGATATTTAAATTATAAATTGATATACCTGGAAATTATTCAAATTTTTATAAGCACTGATTGTTTCTTTGTAACCTTTTCGTGCTGATTTTTTAGCCGAATGTCTTATATAACCGTTTTTAGGCCTAGCACATTGTTCATTAATTGCTTGATTAATTGAATTAATTCCCTCTTTTGAATATTCCTGACTGCACGATTTATTAGTCATTTCAAATTTTAATTAAAAAGTTAAGTTTCGTTTAAAAACCATTAAAATTATTACTTGTGGAACATTTTTCACATTTAATTTAATTCTGAACATCCATTATTATCTTTTATATTTCAGATTTAACTATAATATTTCAGAATTAACCTAATAACTCAACAATACTCCAATTTTCTTTTTTAATGATTAAAATTAATTTACTCACTTATATTTTTTACTATTATTAAACGTAGCACTCATAAAATAACGATCAGCGCAGAATTTTTCGTCAGTGGTCATATTGACAATTTGTTTTTCAGACCTAAAATTATAAATTAATTAATTGCTTCAATAAAAATTTAACACACACACTTTTATCTTTTCTTAGTGATAGTAATTAATATAATTAAATTTGAAGCTTTTCAGATTTCCTATTTTTTAATGTTAATTAAGCTAATTTTGAACAGAATGTAATGTAATTGATAACAAATTTAGCGTAATTTCATGAATAAAATTCTAAACAAAATTCAACAAACTTTTGATTGAAATTTTGCTTCGAGAAAAAGATAATCGATAAAATAATTGAAAAATTAGCCATGAAAATATGCAAAAGAGCTTGAGCACTTTCAATATGATAATAAGGTACTATGCATGACAGTTGTATCCAACGAAAATTTGTTAAATTATAGTACGACTTGCAAGATGGCGTGTATCGGAGAAAAAAACTGAAAATTATTTGGGACAATTTAAAAAATTAAAAAAGGAAATAAAATTTATTTATTATAAAGGAAAAATGAGGCAATAAGTTCAAGATGATAATGACTGAAGCAAAAGATTAAATATTTCAATTTTACTGCAAAATTTAAACTTTGAAATTTTGACGTTTGATTTTCTCTTTTTCATTTTACGTTTATTAAAAGTTAAAAAATTACAAAAGTCAAATTTTTTCTACTTAATTCTTTTTTTTTTTCAAAGTTACATTTGTAAATGCTTCTCAACAATAAAATTTTACAAAAAGTAAAATAAAAAAAAAAAGAAAAAAATATTTTCGATTTAAATTTCATATTCTTCCTTTAAATAAACAATAAGTTTCTCTGTATGATACACTTGAAATATTTTTTTCTTAAATTATCTTTATTTAGACCACAATCTCTATAACAGTGTCACTGAACAACAAAATTTTTTGAAATTGTGTCACCTTCAAGTTATATACTAACTTAAACTTTTTTTTGTATTACTTTTTTGTATTACTGTTAAACTTAGTTTGTATTCTCGTTAATTTAATTCTACTATAACTCAATAATATCTCTTACATTGCAATCAATTAATCGAATTACTTATGAATAATTGCAGCGTACTCTTCTATACCTCATATTTTGCTTAACTTTATCACCTGTAAGAATAGGCAAATCCAGGCTATTTACCCGTGCGAGTGAAACTATATACCTGTAAGAATAGGCAAATCCAGGCTATTTACCCGTGCGAGTGAAACTATTTACCTGTAAGAATAGGCAAATCTAGGCTATTTACTCGTGTGAGTGAAACTATTTACCTGTAAGAATAAGTAAATCCAGCGCTAAGTATCGGTACGTCACGGCTGATAGCAAATAATTCATTATACCATAAGATAAGCGCAATATTATATAATATGGAAGTAAAACTGAATAGCATAAAGACTACAATTAATCGTTTTTGCCAATGAATCATTGCTATTAGTCCACAAATACATGAAAAAACCTAAAATTAATTAGCAATTTTAATCTGAAATTAAAAATTAAAACAAACTTTTACAAAAAAAAAAAAAATTTAAATTTCTTCGATTATTTTTTATTGCATAGAGAGCGAAACATTAATCGCAATTACTGGAAATGATTGTAAAAGATTTAATTTCGTTTTTATTCTTTTTATCTTTTTAATTGAAATTATAGTCTAATTTATCATTTAAATTTATCAAAGTTTTTATTTGCTAAAATTTTTCTTCAAATATTAATTTTTTTTTGTTAGAAATTTCAAAAAATTTGTTAAACGATTAATTGAAACTATTTGATAAGTTTAATGTTATACCATATGAAACAAACTTAATCGAAGATATTTACTTGGAATGAATTGAAAACAATTGGTATCCATAATCTGCCAATTGAGTCGAGAATTTGTCGTAGCACTGTTAGCAGAAGCCAAACTGAAACGACAAATAGGTACCAGGCTCGTGAACTTTGGCAGCAACACATCAATGACTTTGTTCTTGGCTAATAAATGAAGCTCATCATATTTTGAGTATTTTCTAAAAAAAAAAAAATTATAGTTTGTTTTTTTGACTATTTCAATATTTTTAATTCTAAATGTAAGATAACATCGACAATTTATGTATAAATAAAATTTTAGCATTTCATCTTAAAATAAAAATTTTTAAATAAATTTAAAAACAATTTAGATCAAATTTGAAATATATATTCGATTAAATTAACATAATTACAATAAAATAAATTAGCTGCGAATAAATTTACAACCAAATGTAACAAAATATCGAATGGAAAAATGTGGACAGATGGGTCGTTTACATTAGAATAACACTCATTTATTCGTTTAAATTTTTAATTATATTCGTTCGAAAAGAAAATGAAAATAAAAGAAACTTACAATTAGATGAGGCATTGATGAGGAATAGAAGAGAGAGAGGGAGAGAGGGACAGGGAGGGAGAGGAGAGAGGAGGAAGAAATGATGGATGCAAGAAAGAAATGTTTTGATCAAATTTTGAGGACAAACATTTTCGCGGCTAATTGATACTTACTTTTTTCTCTTTTCTTTCTTTTTTGTTCATCAAAAGAATTCTGCTGGAATTTCTTTAATTGCTACATTTTATTGTACTAAAAATTTTGAAATTTTTCATTTTTGCACAAAATGAAAAGAGAATGGAAAAACCAAAAAACGCATTTTTCAAATTCTATTTGAATTTAGAAAAAATGATGTTAAGAGAAAAAAAAAAGAATAAAATTAAATGCAATGAATATTCAAAGTAAAATTTAAAAAAAAAAAAAAAACAAAAAACTTTTATTACAAATTTTTGAAAATGTTATTTTTGTTGTTACATACTATCATAAGTAATTAATTAGTAAAAAGCTGTAGCAATTTGTGACCAATATTTAATTGTTTTCTCGCAAAATTGTAGCATATAAAATTAAGAAATGAAATAAATTTGAAATGAAATGAAATCGAAAGAATTGGAAATGAATTCGAATAATAATGTAAACGAGTAGATTTAAAAATTTTAATTATTTCAGAAGGAAAAGAATTTATTATAATATCAGTGATGCTGAAAATGCTAAAAATTAAAAAAAACTTCTAAAAAAGTCCAAAAAAAAAATCAATTTGTCTTATGATAAGGCTTAAAATAAATTAAAAGCATTTTTTTAATGAATTTACAAAATAATATTTTGCACTTTTTCATAAAAAAGCCAAAGAATAAAAAATAAAAATTTCCAAAAAAATTGATTCAAAATTAATCAGAAATAATCTTTTTATTATTGTATATATTTTTTTAAAATAAATTTTCGATATTTTCATTACTATTTTGATTGAAAATTTTATTTGGTCAAAAAAACATTTAATTTCGAATTATTGAAATATCATTTTTTTTTATTCGATCTTCTTTCTTTTTCATTCTATTTTATTCAGCAATAAAAGATTAATAAAAATACAATTTATTCATTTGTGGGAAATTTGAAACGACAAAAAAAGTTTGTCAGCGACCATTGAGCGATGCACTGATGACACAACGTTTGTTGACTTTAGTACATTGTACTAATTATTCAGATTTTAATTTGTGATAAATATTTGAAATGATAAATTGTTAAATAACAAATCTTACGGTATAATCAACATTCCAACTTTTTAACCTAAATTTTCTATTTGTACTGATTTAGTCAATTGGCATTAGATCAAAACATTGTGTGTCACTCAGTGATATATTTTGTCACTTTGTTGTTCAGAAATTTGTTTAAAAGATAAAAAAGAATGGACCGAATTACTTCTTTATCATATTTTTGAAAAATACTACACTTTCTAATTAATTTTAATTATTTATTTAAATATTTCACTCAACCTTTTGCACAGTTTTTAAATTTAAAAAGATAAGATAAGATAGGAAGTTATCTTATCAATGATAAGCACAGAAGAATCAAATGCTTTCAAAATGCTAAAAATACTAATATAATAAAAGATAAGCGATGAAAAAAATGTAACAAAAAGTATGAAATGCATCAAATAAAAAAAAAAGAAAATCATTAGATAATTCAAGGTAAAGTGTTAACATTATAATAGGAGCATGCAGACATGCACTAAATGCATGTTGCAGAACAGCATGCATTTCAGGAATTTGATCAAATATCGAAGGTTCATTTTAAGGGGTTCAGACTTTAGCTTTCCGACAAAAAAAAAAGTTTCTAAATCGAAAAGGAAACATTTCCATCATTTCAAACCATTTAAAATTATTAATGAGTAACAAACATTTTGTTGTTATCATCATTATTTAATTACTTGGCTAATTGCTAGCTGTTAAGCTTTTGACGAGTTAATACTTGAATACTTATAATAACTGTTAATAATAACTTAGAGATGGAAAATCTTTAAACTTTTCTTTCACATTGAAAAAAATTTGAAACTTAAAAAATGAGAAAATTTCAGAAACTGAATTTTTGTTGGATAGAAATGAAAAAAAAAATTATTGTATTTTCTTACTGCGAAAAGTTCATGTGACACTTTAGACTTGAATATTCAATTTCAATGAATAAAGAATTTATTTCCATAGAAAAAAAACAAATATTCCATTCGATTGTCAATTATAAATGCGACATTTTGTCAACAAATAAGGTTAGCAATGAAAATTAATTTCATTTTCTTTGTTTTTTTTTAAATCAAAAAATGCCACTATGAATTTTTTAGTTTAAAAATCAACAAAAAATTTTGGTTTTTCGCACAAATTGTTGAATTTTTATAAATCAAAATTGCATTGAGAAAGAATTAAAAATTTTAGTGACATTTGAATGTAAAAGTGATAAATATGTGATTAAATTCTACAATATTTGGGCAGTTAATCCACAAAATTAATTATAGATAATATTCTCAAACAAGGATTTCGTGTTAGTTCATTAGAAAATTTCAAATCTTACAAATATACTATAATTTATATTAGTATAACTAAATGATTAATAATGAATGAAATTAAATGCAAAGGATGAAAAAAGAGAAAATATTTGGCATCGATCATTTTTAGTTATCAAATTTGCTCTTTAAAACAAGTATTAACGAATTAGTATTAATGAATCTCGAATCTTAGGAAATAATTCTCGAATGACAGTGCGAGTGATGTTTAAAACTGATAATTATCTTAAAGAAATGAATTTAAATGTATCGAGGTGATACTTTAAATTTAAGTGTGACCTGTAACGATACAGATTCCATTCAGCAATTATTTAGAACAAAACTCTCGAGAAAATGGTAGTAGTCTCGGAAATAAGTTTTAATAAAATAGAATGATATGGCGAAGTAAAAAATCAAAACAGGCCTTAGATGACCTTCAAAAGGAACATGTTTTCTAGATGAAATCTTCAAATGGATGAATTCAAAGTGTAAAAAGAGAGAAAAAAAAGGACTGCAAAATTGTAAAGGAAAATTTTCATTTGTGAATATTTAAATGTGATAAAAAGAAAATTTTAGTAATAAGTTGAAAAAAAAGACAAAAAATATTAAAACATTTTGTTTAGAATTTTTTCAACGCAGAAAAATTTTAATTTGAAACAGTTTTTTAATACATAATATCAATCTATTCGACTATGTTTACTCGATTTTAGTTTAATTGTTTACCTTCATTCTATCATATATTTCAGTACTATAAGAAAGTAAATACAAAATTAATCGAAAAAAAAGAGCAAAAATTGAGTGGAATCATCGGACACAACAGTAAATAACGGCGACAAACGCGTGCTCTCATTATTTTAGCGACATATTGCGATGACCTCGGACCTGTCACATCGTCTGCCATTGTTGTGAGATCAAAGTGTCATGCCGGAAAAGCAGGCACAAGGATGTTGAGAGGGGACAGTGACAATAATGGTTGTCGCATGTGCATAGTAATAGTAAATGATACTAGCATACCGGTTAAGTTAAGTAATTAAATTTATTGATAGAAAGTTTTTCTATTTCACTCTACTTTTTAAGAGCTTTTCGAATATAAATTGACAATTTTGATCATTGTTAATAGTTTCATATTAAATGCAACCTTTTTTTTTTTTTTTTTTTGTCTTTTGCTTGCAGTTTCATTTAAATCTTTTAAAATAAAATGAATCGAGAAATGTTTATTAGTTATAGATAATGTAGTATACAAATAATTTTATGGAGGAAGTACAACGTATGATAATAATTTATTTTTCTTAAAAAAAGTTTAATTGAAAAGTACATCGTAAAACATTTAAAAAAAAAACATTTTAAATTGAAGGACAGTGAAAAGAAAATGAAGGAAAAGAATTTTTCTCTTTTTTTAGTTTTATTACCATTCAACTTTTCAACAAGGTTATATGTTTAAAGCAAAAATTTCTTTTTTTAATTTGATTAACTTCATTTGATCACTTCAACGATCATAGCTTTGCATTATGGAAATTCAAGCGAAATATATCAAAGTGCTATCTACCATTCATTCAAATTTTATTCAAATGGAAATTTTAAAAATTGACATAAATAATTCTTTTTACTCATTTAGATACAAAGAAAAATGGCACTTAAATTCTTAATATAATCTTTTCCATCCACTAAAACTGCTAATTTTTTTACAAATAACTTGCCAAGCTATGTAAATAGATTTTTCATGTTGAAGAGAAAATATTTGAAATGGACTTTGTATTTGAATTCAAGAATCAAGTGTCTTAAATCACTGTAATTTAACAATCATTGTAGATAAATTTGAAATTCTCGAAGTAAAGTTAATTAAATGGTACAAAATTAGAAGTGTACAATTTTTTAAGTGCCTAAATTTAATTAAGTACCTATTGGAGATATTATCAAAAGGTAAAAGATGAGTTTTCGTTATGTTTACAAATTGCAAAAGAAGCTTCAAAACTTGTAAAGCTTCTCGATCGTTGGTCCTTCACTCGTCAAATTGTCGTGTGAAAGTATTTTACATAAGTAATACTTATGTAATGGTAAACGAATAATTTTGGTGAAATTTTTACTAATAGC